AAACCTTCATGTTAGGAATGCCACGACTCAGACAACTAAGAGTAAAGAAAGGTGAGTTTGATTTGTATTTAAATTTAAAACACACCAACCTCATTGACGTTATTTTTCAAAATATTTCTCTTTTATTCTGATTGACTCAAATCCCATGGCTAAATTTTCACAACCACCTAATGTAAACCACATTTGGAAAACTATCCAGAAAAATGATGACATCGTCAGAAAAAAAAAAGGAACGGAAAACCAAGAATCCTGTAGACAAGGTTGCGTTGTTTGGTACGTTTCCCGGAGAAGAAACAGGCGAGATTATGCCTAAATACATACAAAGATCAGCAAGAATACACTCTATAGATGACATCTGCTATTTAGAGAATATCTGCAGCCGAGCTAAACATTTCTTTAATTCTGTCGTCCTCTTGCGTAACCTTACAACGAGAACGCCCACATAAGCAATATGTTTGGATTAGCAAAACACCAATTTTGCACGCGCATCACACCTTTTTTTGTGCATTTCTTTACCGTCGCTGCACGACAACAATGTGAATCTGGCTAATTTCACATTTTCTGGGAACGTGAAAACAAAACAACGGGATTTTGTTACCCTTTTTTTTATGTCGCAGATGGGATTCGAACCCACGACCCTCCGTGATCTAGTCAGGTGCTCTAACCACTGAGCTACCGAAGACTTGATGGTGAGCAAGGGTTCTAGATTCTATTGACAAAAGGATTTAATTGGCACTATTATGAAAATGACCTGGACAGCCGTGACGGTCACAGCCTCTTTAAGTTCCCTAATTTCTAGCCGACAATCTCCGGTTTTTAATTTAACCAATTTACCCTATGCCTTCATTAAGATATAGAATGTCCTGTAGTTGTGATGGATAAAGCTCTTGGAGACCTTTACGCAAGCTGTCGTCAGTCATACTCAAGCGATACCGAAGACCGAGGCTTAACTTATGGGCCGAAGTGGACCCAACTGGAAAATAATGGCCATCGTGGAACTAAAACTGACTTCTTCCCGAAGCCATGGAAATACCAAAGTTCTTCAGAGGTCAAAACCACTTCTCACTACGCTGTAGAAGGGAAGTACGGTGGCGGTGGCTTTATAGCTGACCTAGGCTACAACATTACAACTGCTTCAGACGTAGTAAGAGAACTAAAGACGTACAACTGGGTTGATGAGCGAACTTCTGTTGTCTTTATAGAGTTTACCCTGTTTAATCCATCGACGTCACTTTTCTCTATCGTCCGAAACGCATATGAAGTTTTGCCAACTGGCCAGGCTGTTACTTCGGTGGACGTGAGGGCAATTTCACTGTATCCGGCGTCAAATCCTCGTTTTCAGTCATTTTATGAGGCATGCCAACTTATTTTTCTTGTTGTTATTCTCATATTCTTTGTTATTGAAATAGTTAAGAGTGTTCGAGAACGAGGATATTTTCGTCAGGTATGGAATTGGGTGGAGTTGATCGCTCTGTTGATCTGCATAGCAGCAATATGTGTGTCATTCTTTAAAGAACAATACACCGCTAGGTATGTGAAGAGGATACAGAAAAACCCATACGAAACGTTCAGCTCTGATGCTATCACAAGTTTGGTGGACGTGGAAACACTGCTGCTGTCACTGGCAATTTTCCTAATAACTCTAAAGCTGTTGAGGCTCACTCGGTTTAATCCCCATATCGGCCAAATGTACGGAACCCTCAGGACTTCCGCTAGACCAATTATGTCGTTTTTGGTGCTGTTTTTCGTTGCTTGTGTTGCGTTTACACAATTTTTGTATCTGACATTTGGAC